AATTCTTTAAAATAAAGTTCTCTATTCTATAGTTATTTCTAAACCACACTGAAAAAGAGACAACGTGTTTTGTTTTTCTTCTAACTTTACATTATTAAGGAAACTAATGTCTAATAGGCTTATCTTTTTCATAAAGACAAGCCATGTTAGAAAACAAGCAATAAACAAACAGCAAGCTGATTCTATGAGTACTGTAGATCAAAGTTACATTAAGAACTTTTTTTTAAGTGTGACAGATCAAGCTCAGATGAATCTGAAACATCAGCTCAACACAAGATAAAGAATTACGAGCTCAGTACTTCTTGCCGACTTTTAATAATTATGGTATTTCTAAACCCTAGTTATCAATCAAAGGCATCCATAACCCCATAAGAAATTACCTGAGCTAGGAAAAGCTGATATTAAGAATATGAAAGTTTAAAAGAATGTATTTTCTTTCACAATGAGTTGGTTTTATAAATACTTTCAAAGTATAACAGAGAAATGGGTGTATTATAGCACTCTTGTGTGGATAAATTCAGTAGTTACCTTCTGTTTAAAATTGTTCTAAGGGCACTCTTATTCTTTGATGAAATGAAAGCTTTGTTTTTATCTGTTGAGTCAGAATTCTGATTTTTCTGATTATGACCCTTTACACATAAACAATGACTGGTTCACATACACACCAAAAATAGCATTTTTATTGTTCTCCTTTAAAAGAAAAGATTGGACTAAAAATTTAAATGTATTCTGAAAAGGTATTTTCTCAAATTTAACTTTCAACATGGAAGAAATACTTAAACTGAAATGTCATTTAACTTGGCTACAACACAAAAATAAACATAAGAACAAAACAAAATAGTAATAATAAGGCCCCTAAAATCTAGTTGAGCATGCTGAAAAGGAAGTCTCCTATGTCAAAGAGGCTGTCCTTAATTCTGAAGCCAAAAGCTCCCATCTGACTACAATTCATTAATGGACCAATTTATTCAATACAAACTAATAAATACCTAACCTAGTTATAATACAGGATGAAATTCACTCACACAGTTCCAGGCCCCAAAACATGCAAACATCGTTACCGACTTGCATAACAAGCACTGTAAGTGGTATAAGAAAACCCTTAGCAGTATCATAGTAGTTGGCATTTCTACCCTCCATCCCCCCACTAACCAAAATGAGGTATTTTATTTTCTGCCTTTGCTCCACAACCTCGGTAAAAGGAAAGAGGGACCAAGAAATTATGAATAAAATATGGGAATGCATGATTTGGGCATATTTTAGGAAATGTACGTGTTCTTTTTCATTAGCTGCCATCTCAGTCCTTCTCATCTAATTCCTGTTCACACACACACATCCTTTTGCTATAAATAACATTCAGAATGACTTACAGATTAGAAAGCATGTCATGATCAGATTTTGATTACATGAAACAGAAATACTCAAAAAAGAATTTGGTGGGTGGTAAATCTAAGTTTGGAAATGCGGTCCTCTCACATTACTGCTATTCAAAAATTAAAAGTGAATCTGCTCACTGTTGCTTTTCAATGTTCTTTGGAGGTCAGAGGACCTACCCCTCCCCACACACACACACACACACACACAACAAAACCAACCTGTGTGCTGCTTGTTCCAAAGAAAAACATCACTAGAGCATGCATTTTTTTTTTTTAATGAAAGTAGAAATTTTTTAGGTAATTTAGAATTAACTTTCAAAGTCACAAACTGAAATTAAATTGTCATGGAAAACACTTGCTAATTTATTTTCAGGAATAACATTTGGATGGCAGGGCCATAGCAGGAAAAGGACATCCGATTATTTAGTGAACTTTTTGCATTTCTCCTAAAGTGTAATTATATAAAACATGCTTTTAATGGCTTATAACCTTTCTTTACTTGAAATGTTTAAGTCTAATTCCTCATTTTCTTAAAATAAAACAAATGTAATATTTAGCATATACTTAAGTCATTCATTTTCCTTTGAAACCCCTAAAGGGAGCAGTCCTCTAAATTAGTTCATTTTTGTTATGAAAACCTACAAGCAACAACTGTAAATATCTAGTGCAGTTAGCACAGGGAATTCCTGGAAGGGTGATGGTGCATCAAAAGACTAGCAGCTCTGTTCTGATAGAATAATAAAAGCCATTTAAAGGACTGTAAATTCAACATCAATGGCGTTTCCGACAGGAAAACATTGCTAAAATTCCACCTCCAGTTTATTTCTTCATGACAGAAACCAAAAGACCTCCTATCAAGATAGTTATCTACTGCAAATATTTCATACAAAGTGAATATCAGTCAGTAGGATAAAAAGTGAGAAAATTTCATTTTCTCTTCTTAGAACTTATGCAATTTCCTTTACTTTTAGAGAAAAATAAAATTAAGAAAGTTTAAAAGAAAAAAATATCCCCACCATTCCTGAGATAAACTTTCCTTTTCTTTCGTTTATGTTTTTGTGTGTGTGACTTTTCTATGAGCATGTTATCGAGATAATGAACATAAGCTGTAAAACAGAACACAATGCTCATTTTTACCCTGAAAAATAAAGCATCCTACAAGTCTGTTTCATGTATTTTTTAAGCTCATCAAAGTGCCAAAAGACCATTGTGTTTTCGAGAAAAAGAAAATATTTATAGCACTAAATAGGACTATGTAAAATATTAAAGCCACCTTAGCCTAAGTGGATTGCTCCATAACAGTTTTTTGAATGGTTCTGAGCAATTGAGGAAATGAGACTATGAATAGGAAATTTGATTAAGAGTTAACATTACCATTGGGTTCTTTAAAATGTATTAATGAATAATTAATAGCAAGTGCAGTTCCTAGGCTTCCCTTACAACAATACTCTCAGTAGAATTTAAGTCTGCAGCAAAATCCATCTACGTGTTATGCAAAGGTGAGTACAGGAAGTATACACACAGAGAAAAGCATTATGAGAAATACATTACTGTGGGCTATAAGATCTGGGCTTGGGTAAAAAAAAAAAATCAGCATGGTAAAATTTAGATCAGATTTATAACATTCTCACTTTAATACCAAACCAAATCTCCACTTTAAAGGCTTGAAAAGTTAAAAGCGTTAAAGAAACCCTTTGTTCCAGTATACTGTCTCCTACCCTAACTAGATTCCAGCCTCCTTTGTGACGCGGGATTTTATTGATCTCAAACATGTTCACATTCAGAAATTAGTCTCCAAAGACATCCCCAAGAGGCTGCCGGCCACCTATATACCGCACATCAAGACATCTTAAAAAAGGACAAGAGCTTTGAAAACATATCACTCTTGGATCAGCAGCATCAAGTAAAGTTAACCAGGCTCTCCTCTAAACACATTTTTCTCTTAACTGGTAAAAACAGCACGTCCACTGAACTGACAGTATATGTATGAAGGTTCAGATCCACCCAAAGATTCCTTCCGTAGTTCCTCATTCATTCAACAACTGAGCGCCTAAGTGACCTATATCCAGGTTACTCTCCTCACACCTGCCAGGTCACTATCTCGACTGAGAAACTTCTTGTCGGAGCAGTTAATTTTTAGTGCCTCCTAACTGTCCCGGGTGTTTGCATTCAATTTGAAATCTGTTACTTGTTAGGCACTGTTCGGTCCTAGATCTTGCAGGGAATTGCGAGTTTATGGCGCAGAGAGGGGAGGAGGCGAGCATCTCCGAGAGCCTGCCCTTTATTCGGAAATGAGATGTGAAAGGTGGAAGGCAGGGCAAATAAATAAATAAATCGGGTTTGCCGCCGGAGCGTTTGCCGGGCCCGAACGGGCACCCTTTGTAATGCGGGCCTCCCGGGGCTATCGCCCGCGCTAATTGCTCCAGGGCGCTTTCCAAGTTCAAAAGTTCACCTTTTACGACCCCACAAAAGCTCCTTACACGTTACCAATAAAAACATCCCGCGGCAAACACTGGGGGTGGGGTGGGGGGGTATCAAACAGATACAAATAAAACATCCCGCCGCAGGGGGAGGGAGCCGGGCGGATGCGGGGAGCCTGAGGACTGGGCCGGGCGGGGGCTGGGGGTGCGGGCCGGGCCAGGGGAGGCACTCCCTGGGCGCGGGGACCTGGATGGCGAGAGGACCGGGAGGAACGAGGTGGGGCGAGCGCGGCCCCGGACCCGGCCGGAGACACGGGGAGACAGGTGTCCCCCCAACACCCGATCGGGACAGATGCTGAGCCCGCAGAAAGTTGTCGCCCGGCAGAGGAGGGAAGGGAGCGGGGAGAAGCGGGGTGCGGAGCGGCACCAGCGGGTGAGAAAAGGGGACACAGAGGTGGAGGCTGCGGTAGCAGAGGGCGCGAGGGGAGTGCGGGCCGGCGGGAGGGAGGCAAGAGGCTCCAGGAAGGTGCGGGGCCGAGGGGACCAAGGGGACGAGGGTGTGGCGTCGGGTCAGCGGAACGAGGAGAGAGCGTCAGCGGGGGCGGAGGGACCCGCGTGGGGAGCGCCGAGGGGCCCGGGGTGGGGGTGGGGGTGGGGGTGGAGGTGGGGGGGAGGGGACGGCTCCGCGCTGAAGGGACCCAATGGGGGAGCGGCCCCCCGCGGAGGGTACTCAGGGGGCAGGAAGAGGAGGCTCTGAGCCCAGGAGACCCAAGGGGGAGGCGAAGCCCCCACTGACGGGACTCGAGATGGGGGATGGGGGCTGAGGGGGTGGGGGATGGGGGAGGATCGCACTGAAGGGACGCGGACCCCGGGAGGGTCTGCCATGACGGGACCTGGGGGTGGGGGAGTCCCGCAGAGCGGACAGGGAGGGGGAAGGGGGGAAGGGCGGGGAGGGAAATGAAGGTCCGAGCAGAGGGAACCAGGCGGGGGGAGGGTCTGCGCGGAGGAGAGCCCGGAGGAGGCGGCTCCACACTGAGGAAGACAGGGGAGGAGAGGGAGGTGCGCGCCGAGGGGACCGGGGTGAAGGTCCATGCGCCGTAGCCTCCCAGGGTGCTAGGAGGCGGAGGGAAGGGGTCTCCCGGGTCAGGGGGCACGGGGCTGGGTCCAGGTGGGCCCGGCCGGACTCTGCACGCCCTTCACCCACCGTTGCGCGGCGGCGGAGGGAGCGCGGCGGGCGGCTCCAGGAACCCCGTGGAGCCCCCGCCGCCTGCCCCTCCGCTCGGAGGCCGTTCGTCCCGCTCCATGCGGCGGTGCTCAGGGCCCGCGCTCGGCTCGCCGCTCCGCCATGACCGGCACCCTCGTCGTCGTCGCCGTCCGCCAGGGGGAGGGGGCTGTCAGGGGCCGGCGGGCTCCCGGCCGCCGCGCTCTCTGGGCCCCTAGCCGCCCGGCTCCGCGCCCCTCCGCGCCGCGCCCCCTCAGCACTGGCCAGCTCCCTCCCCCGACGTCACGCGCCGCGGCCACGCACGGGCCCGCGGGGCATGCTGGGAGTTGGAGTCTGCCCGGCGAGGCCGGCCATGCGGGACTCCAGCAACTGCAGGGGTGGAAAGAACAATGTAGCAGCTCTGAAGAACTGAAAATCCAAAGCCTGCTTCAATCGCGAAACTCTAATAAATATTTCCGCTATATTAAAGAGTATATATGATTTCAGGGCCTTTTATTTGTTGTGATTTATCCATAGTCAACTTTCCTTATGACTCCTGGTACCCCCCCGCGATGACAATGGGTCTTTCCTAGGAGGTGGGTCGCAAAGGAACCGCTGAGCACGTGCAACGAAGCCCAGCCTCCGGGGCGGGGTTGGCGGGGGTGGAGTTTGGGGGATATTCACCGGGACTTTCCTCTGCGGCTTCGGGACAAATTGGACCCGAGATTAAAGGGTCGGAGTTTAACTCGAGGTGACTGCGTTCGTATGCAAATAGAATCTATAAAACTCTGCTTTCCGGGGTGGTCTTTAAAGGCTTTTACCTCCGGGTGGGCGGGAAAGACAAAAGTTTCTCTTCCTCCTCTTTCATTTTCCACCTGCCCCTTGGAACAGAACGGCAAACGAAACTCCCAGGCCATTGATGCCATTAAAGAAACTCTAGAGATCAACCACAGGACTTGTGTGCATGCATATAAGCCTAACCAGTGGCCATGGACAACTGGGAGGTGTGGGCATATGTGAGGAGGGGTTTGGGATGGGAATGGTGGGGGGGGGGGGGGGTGAGGACAATTATATGATACTATAATCAATAATAAACATATAAAAAGAAACTATAAAAACTGGTGTCTTGAAGCTCTCGGTTTGAGGGGCTCCTTACCCACCCTTGTACCCCTTCTCTTCTCAGTTTCCCAATCTGTAAAGCGGAGTTGGGACGGGGTCCGATTGGGAGAACCCAAACGCCGCTCCCCGCCTGTTTCCCGGGTTTTGTCGTCTTTGCTGTTCCCGGCTGAGCCCGCCTCCTCTGGCCACCAGGCGGCGCGCGGTCATCAGCTTCTGGGACCTTCCCGGGCGTCAGCCTACGACACCCTCTCTGGGAAGGACTCATCGCTGCTGCCCCCCAAGGTCTAAGCCCTGACCTGGCCTGTTTGAAAACAAAGACCCAGAACCTTGATGCTTCGCCCGCCTCTGTCCTGCCGGCTTATGCCGCGGCTTCCTGGTTAGCTGCCCATTTCCCGCCCTCTCCCCACCCTGTTCCACCAGCCCTTTAGCTCATCTGTCATTCCTTAGTTCTTAAAACGTCCTTATCCTGGCATTTATGCGTCCCTGTCTGGTCTGACGTCTGCCCATATTTCTCATCACGCCCCTTCCCTCACCTGCTACGCAGGAGGTTTTGCAACACCATTCTGCACTTGCCGGTTCCTTGCCCACATTAGTTAACCTGTATTGTGCCTTAATCTGTGCCTGCCGCTGCTTTGAGAGGTTTTAACACGACGTTGCCTGAACCTCAAACCCCCTTTATAAGGTAGCTCCAATATTGTCCCTGTCATACACTGATGATGATGAAGTCACCTGGCAGAGATGAGGATTCCAGACACAAGAACCTGAACCCAGAGTTCCTCCAACCGGGAATGCTGCTGGTTTCACCCCGCTCCAAACCCTTATCCTCTTTCAAAATCCTGTTCAAGTATCTCCTCGGGGGCATCTGGGTCCCCTCTGGGTTCCCTTCGGGCTCTGTCGAGTTCTCTGTGGACAATGAGAAATGGTCTCTCCATGGTTGCTTCTCCACTACCATTCCCCAGCCCAAGAGGGAGAGGAAAGCCCTTTGTGTGTGTGTGTGTGTGTGTGTGTGTGTGTGTGTGTGTGTTGGTGTGTGTGTTGGTGTGTGTGTGTTGGTGTGTGTGTGTGTTGGTGTGTGTGTGTTGGTGTGTGTGTTGGTATGTGTGTGTTGGTGTGTGTGTTGATATGTGTGTGTTGGTGTGTGTGTGTGTGTGTGTGTGTGTGTGTGTGTTGGGGTGGCAGTGGTGAGGTGGGACAGGAGATGGGTCCTCTGAGCCATACCCTCCACTCCGGATTCTAAAATGTGTCCCGGCCAGAACTTTCCTTTCTATCACAAGCCTCTGCAGATGGTGAGTGCCCTTTCCTAAGAGATCCCATCAGGCTAAACGGCAGTGCGGAAGCCTTCAGCAGCCCTGGTGTTTCAGTGATGGACAGAGATTCTACGTTCATTCTAAGCTCAAAGGTGGGCACTGAATTCGGCCAACACTCAGCCCACGGAAATAGCTCCTCATCCTTCAGACCAACCGTGTTGTCTCATCCTCCCAAAGCCTTCCTGGTCTCCCTGACAAATCAAACCACATTATTCTCACGCTCATGATTTTAACTCCGACTGCTGAGCACTGGGCCTGAACCTTTAGATACTCAATAAATAATTGTTGGGTGAAAGAATGAATGAAACATATCTGTCTTTTCTAAGTAATAACTGACCTTGGGCATTTACCTCTGAGCCTCAAAGTCTGGTTCTAGGGGATGAGGAATAATAATAGTAGTTGCTACCTCACAGGATTATTACAAGAATTAAATAAGATGATGTATGCAAAGCAATTCATATAAGGTGTGGCCAATAAATGGGACCTGTTACTAACATAAAGGAGAACCTGCCCTGGCTGCTGTGGCTCAGTTGGCTCATCAACCTGTTCTGTGTAAGTACATTCTGTTTAAATACCTTTTGTCTATGATTTGAATAGATAGGTCATGGCAAAATCTCCAGGATATAATCACACGACCTCCACTGCACATTTATATATATATATATATATATATATATATATATATATATATATATATATAAAACCTAAGCTGCCGAATGACTGGTCAACCGGTCGCCATAACACATATTGACCACCAGGGAGCAGACACTCAACTCAGGAGCTGTCCCCTGGTGGTCAGTGCACTCCCACAATGGGAGTGCCACTCAGCTAGAAGCTGGGCTTATGGCTGGTGAGTGCTGCTGTGGAGGCGTGAGCCTCTCCTGCCTCTATGGCAGGCGCAGTGGGCGGGGATAAGCAGGAGCAAAGCCTGGCCCTCGCTCAGGTCCTCCCAGGCCGCCTGCTGCCTTGGGCCGAAACCAGCATCCTCTGAGGGGTCCCAGATTTTGAGAGGGCACAGGCCAGGCTGAGGGACCCCACCAGTGCACGAATCCGACCATCGGGCCTCTAGTATCCTATATAATAAAAGGGTAATATGCAAATAGACCGAATGGCAGAACAATCATAATATGCTAATGATATGCTAAGGCTGCTCAACTGCTTGCTATGATGCACACTGACCACCAGGGGGCAGTCAACTGATTCACCAGTCACTATGACACACACTGACTACCAGGGGGCAGATGCTCCAACAGGCAGGTTAGCTTGCTGCTGGTATCTGGCTAATCAGGACTGAGCAAGATGGGCCTGACATGCCCTGGAGCCCTCCTGCAATCCCTCCCCAGCCCAATTGTGCACCAGTGGGGTCCCTCAGCCTGGCCTGCACCCTCTTGCAATCTGGGACCCCCTCGGATGTCGGCAAGCCAGTTTCAGCCCGATTTCACAAACCACTCCCCTTGGGAGAGTGCCAGATACAGGCTCATAGCTGGTGAGCACTGCTGTGGCAGTGCAGACTGATTGGGTGTGAGTGTGAAGCAGGCACAGTGGGGCCAGGATGAGCAGGAGCAGCAGGTGGCATTGGACAGCAGGTTCCAGCCCAATCCCTGCAGGCCACCCAGAATGACCCCACCCATGCATAAATTTGTGTACCGGGCCTCTAGTATGCCATAATAGAACACACTTGGAAGTTCCTGGTGTTATTCCCAATCATGGCACCTACCTAGATTGTGGGTCCTATCCATGGTTAGAGCACATGTGAGAGGCAGCTAATCAATGTTTACTCTCACATTGATGTTTCCCACTCTCTCTTTCTCTCCCTTTCTCTAAAGTCAGTAAATATATCCTTGGGGAAGGAAGGAAGGAAGGAAGGAAGGAAGGAAGGAAGGAAGGAAGGAAGGAAGGAAGGAAGGAAGGAAGGAAAGAAGGAAGAAAGGAAGGAAGGGAGGAAGGAAGGAAGAGGAAAGGAAGAAAAAGAGAAAGAAAAGAAAAGACTGGTCTTAATATGCAGTTATCATATCATCTTCTGAAAATGCTTCTTGGGAAAAAATCAACTACAATGGCCCTGGCTGGGTAGCTCAGTTGGTTAGAGCATCATCCCAATACACCAAGGTTGTGGGTTTGATCCCAGATCAACCAATGAATGCATAAACAAGTGCAATAACAAGTCTCTCTCTTTCTCTCTCTCATCGATAAATAAAAATAATTAGCTATCACAGATTTGAGAAGGGTAAGGGAAATTATGATGTACGCAGACCCTCACTGTTCTGTGAGGTAGGCACCTACCACATGCCCATCTCCTACTATGGAGCCTTAGCCCGCCAGTGTCCCCCAACAATCCAGAGAAGTCAATACTTTTTACCAAATTTACCAAGAGGAAATAGGCTCAGAAAGACATGAAAATACTCTCACCACCAGCAGGACTGATGACAGAAAAGCTGGAAAGAAAAGTGTCTAAGAATAAGGAGGCATCTGCCAGGGAGTGGTCCTGAGGTCAAAGGTAAGCAGACTAACAGGATAAGGAGACAGGGATACAGCTAAGAACAAGGTTGGTATGAGCCCCATCATGGAGAC